TCTCCACTTCTATTTGGGTGAGTGGAAGAACATGTGACTTTCTGGTTTACTAAACAGAGAAACCAGAAAGAACCTTACAGCAATCTTTAGAATTGCAGTGAAAACATCCCAAAAAGTTTTGAGCAGAGTTTCTGGGTTGAAAAATGCAAAAAAAAAACAACAAAACAAAACAAAAAAACCCACCAAAAACAGTCCAAGAGAAGCCAAAGTCTTTAAAAATGGAAAAGGAGAAGTGCAGATTTGTCAATGTCTGTATGTGGGACATTGTGAGAAGTCATAGTTAGCAATGCAGAGACTGCACAAAGTCAAGTGCGAAAACTGAAGGCACAGATGTCCAAATGGGAGATTTACCGTATTTTTCGCTCTATTACACACACCAGACCATAACACGCATGTAGTTTTTAGAGGAGGAAAACAAGAAAAAAAAATTCTAAACGAAACAGTGGATGTATGATTTTTGTGCTTCATGCTGTGGCCACAGACATGTGATCTGACGGTGAGTTTGGGGTAGCCCAATGCAAAAATCCTGAGGATCCATGTGGATCCATACTTTGTAACCACGTTTTAAGTGGGGAGGGAAGGAAAAGCACTCAAGGGACAAGGAACACGCATGGGGGGTGTGGAGAAGGATGCTGCTAATAATGCAGGCGATGGGTTTAAGGGCAGAAGGAACCAGTGTGGGGTGTGTGGAGAAGGAGCTTTTCCGGGAGCTGAGCGGGGAGGAGGGAGGGAAAGAGCACTGTTGCTTTAAAGGAGCCAACCGGACAGCAGCCGCTTACAGCAGTGTAAGCAGCTCCTCTCTCCTGTTTTGCTCCTTCTCTCCCTCTTTGCTGCTTTACACAGCTAATGGCGAATCCCCTGCAATCCAAGTCCTGCTCATGTGCTCAAACCTATCCTGTCTATCCTGCGTAATTTCCCCCTCTCCCTCATCCTATGCCCTCCTGTCCCCAGCGCGCTCAAGCAGCCAGCGGATCAGGGGAGACGCTGGGAGACATGCATTTCCCCCTCTCCCTCATCCCGTGCCCTCCTGTCCCCAGCGCGCTCAAGCAGCCAGCGGATCAGGGGAGACACTGGGAGACATGCATTTTCCCCTCTCCCTCATCCCGTGCCCTCCTGTCCCGGCGCACTCAAGGAGCCAGCGGATCAGCTGAGACGCTGGGGACGCGTCATTTCCCCCTCTCCCTCATCCCATGCCCTCCTGTCCCCAGCGCGCAGCCTCATTGCTCCATTTAGAGAGTGCGCAGACCTTTGCTAGCTGAGGCTGCAGCAGCTGTTGCTGGCTACGCAACGCTTTTAAAAGTGCCTGCTGGCTTTGAATTGCCTGCCTCCTTCCGGCTCGCTATGGCTCCTGTCTGTCCCTCCTCCCGTGTAAGCAGCTGCTGCCCACTTTGCTGCCATGCCTCTCCTTCCCTCCCTCCTCCCCGGCTCCTCCGTAGGTCGCTTTAAAGCGTAGAGCGTGTAAGCGGCTCTCGCTTTGCTTACTTTCAGAGAGCCCCTCCTCCTGGCTGTAAAGCAGGCAAAGTTAGAGCCTTGCAAAGTGAGACAGAAGCCCTGCAAGCGGCTCCCGCTTTGCTTAACTGACGGCAGCCATGGCTCCGGTCCAGTGCATTCACCCCATAACACGCACAGGCATTTTCCCTTACTTTCTAGGAGCAAAAAAGCGCGTGTTATGGAACGAAATTTACGGTAGCTACTTCCTGGGGGCACTGTAGCATGCAAGCTGGGAGTGGGTTTGAGTATATTCCCCCACAGGACATCAGCGGCCAGGTGAAGCCTGCATAGACCACTGTGGTCCTATTCTGATCCAGTTCATCATAGCCACTGGCAGCCAAACAGCACTTGAGAACTTAAGCACTGTACATGTTGGCACTGGAAAGGTGCCACCAATTACAGAGGTTTGAGCCATCTGGATATGCCCCAAGGTACATATTGACCCTCCAAATAGACTGAGGACTTAACACAGCTGCCAGGAAAAGATGAGAGCAGGTTCTCGTTTCGTCCACATGCAAACTTTGGCCATAACCCTCAAAAAAACCATCAGCCCTCCCCAACCTTGTGCCTTTCAGGTGGTTGTTGGGACTACAACTCCCACCTGCCCCAGCTGGAATGGTTGTCCAGCCACCATCTGGAGGGCACCAACTTGGAGAAGGCCAGTCAAAGCCATTTAATCTTAAGTAGTTTAGTAGGGGATTTTCGCTTTTGACTTCTTGGTGAGCGGAGAAGGTAGGCTGGAGAAAATGCAGGCCTACCATTTTCCAGGGGGCAGCTTATCATAGTGACTTTATTCATTCATACATAGGTTTTAGGCTCTACCCTTCTTCCCCCAGTTATCATAAATTAAAAGGCAGTAAAGACAGTTCTATGGATATTTAAAACTGAAAATCAAATTAGAGCCAGGTGAAAGAATGAGGGAGGCAAGCAAAGAGGGAATTAGGACCTCCCTTCACCACTCAGGACAATATACCACCTGCCAGCTGCCCTGGGAATTCGTTCCTAATGAATTCTTTTGATATCATTTTAGTATTTTATTTCAAATTTACTTCCAAGTAAACAATTCAGGAAAGGGGTAGAGAAACTGTTTTGAGTGCAGAAGGGCCCAAGTTTCAGTCCCTGGTGTTTTCTGGCAGGGCTGGGAAAGACCTCTTGTCTGAAACCCTGGAGAGCAACTGCCGGTCCGTGTAGACAAAACCAATGTAGGTCTGATTCTGACTCGGCAAAAGACAGCTTCCTACGCTACTTTTAAGCCGCCCTGAGAGTATTTGCATCTTTAAAAGCGGACTACAGTGGTACCTCAGGTTAAGTACTTAATTCGTCCTGGAGGTCCATTCTTAACCTGAAACTGTTCTTAACCTGAAGCACCACTTTAGCTAATGGGGCCTCCTGCTGCCGCTGCGCCACCAGAGAATGATTTCTGTTCTCATCCTGAAGCAAAGTTCTTAACCTGAAGCACTATTTCTGGGTTAGCGGAGTCTGCGACCTGAAGCGTGTGTAACCTGAGGTACCGTTGTATACAGAAATAAAATGCAAAGACAAAAACATGCCTGTTTAAAAAGAGAATTTAGAAGTGCTTGGGGCAAAGAAAAAGTTTTATGCCTAGTGCCAAAAAGGCCCGGGTTGGTGCCAGGTGAGCCTCCCTGGACAGGGCATTCCTGAGATTTCTGTTAGCAACTGGCATGCCAGAAGCCTACATGTCCACTGTGGCAATCTCCACTCCGAGTGCTGCTACTCCAAAAGGAATGGTAACTCCAAAGCCCCAGGACAACAGGTGCTTCGTCCGACAGCTACTTCCTGTTTTGCTTTTGGGTTTGCAGCTGTCATTCCAGGGAATGATGACACCTGCAATTGCCCTATGCAATGTAAATATTTGTTTCTTGGTTGTAACCTTATTTTCTTTTCTTTTTTACAATGAGCGGGACAATGCTCCCTTCCCCCACAAAACAAAACACCAGCATCATGTTGGGAGGATTATAATTCAAGCACTCAAACCCGTCTAGTTTCTTCATTAGAATCCCAACATATGAGAAGATAATAGCAACAAACCTGCATGAGACTGAAATGCTGCAAAGTGGGGAACCTTTGGCCCTCCAGATGTTGCTGAACTAAAACGCCCATCATCACTGATCACTGGCCATGCTTGCTGGGGTTGATGGGAGTTGTAGTCTGTCCACACCTGGAGGGCCAAGATTCTCAACGCCTGCTGAAATGCTGCCGCTTGGCTCCTCTTACAATGAAGAAAAATTGCCCTTGACCTAAGGAGAATGCTGAGTCATCATTCCTTCCAAGCATCACATGGCAACCCATATCCAATGCCACTTTTAAGCTCATCTGTATCAGCAGCGAGTTCACATCTGGCTTCTCCTTCATGTCCAGCTGATGGGTGAGCTTGGAAAGAATCCAAGTTTGCCCTTATGCAAAACCAAAGGGATGCTAAAATAAGTAAATGCAAGCAATGTTCCAATGTGGCTTTTCTTACACTCAATGCTGCCAGCAGCCCATGTTTCTCTTTGCTTGTTTGTTTGCAAAGCTGTAGGCAGTTAAGTAGGATAAGCACAGACAGTGGTTTAGGCACCCTGAAAGAATCCAAAGGGTCTAAGCCATAGCATGTGTGTAACCAAAGCAAGCATTTGTAACATTTGTTGTGACTCCCAATTACCATTTTAGTTGGTGGGTTTTGCAAACACACCATAAATGAGATCTCTGTGATATTATGTGACTCATCACCATTGCTCCTCAGCCTCATTGTGAACAGTTTGCCTTCTGGCACTGGCAGCTTAAAAATCTAGCTTGGTGCATCAAAAACAAAGCAAGTAGGGTGTCTGTACTGTGACAAGACCTTCCCAGACTTCTCTTACAAAATTAAGGCAAACCTTGCTGTGTTTCCCATTGTGGCCTTGCAAGACATATGTGTTAACTTCAGGTGCTGCCTAAGCAGTGTGTTCAAGTGTGAGCTGCCAGAAGAGTGGATCATTTAGATCAGGCTTCCTCAACCTCGGCCCTCCAGCTGTTTTGGGAATACAACTCCCATCATCCCTAGCTAACAGGACCAGTGGTCAGGGATGATGGGAATTGTAGTTCCAAACAGCTGGAGGGCCGAGTTTGGGGGTGCCTGATTTAGATGAAAACTTTAGACAACTTAACATAGATAATAGGACATGAATTGTGTGAAAAGGTGCCACAGTACAGTGGAGAGCTAAGCATTGTGCTTCAAGTCCATTCATTTCAATGCAATCTAAGCATTCTGTAACCTGTGTTGGATTAAGATCTTGGGTGTAGTGACTTTACTCCAGGCTGCCCAAAGTGTTACTTGAGCCTCAAACGTTTTATTTACACCCCAGCCAAGTGTTCCACATCCCTAGCTTGAAAATAAGTCAATGAGGTTTTACTCCCAAGTAAGCATGCAGAGAATCAGGCTGGTAGGTCAGCCTGTTGAAAAGACGTCACCATCTACTCCCAACTGATTCTGCTGGTTAACAGTGTTCTACGAAGCAGAGTAAACATACCTGGTATGACAGGCCATCCTTGCGGGGGCTTAAGCCAATCTCGTCCATAGATGGAGCGCTCATCACCTCAGTCATGTCAGCTGATCTCAGATAATCAGAGCTGGAAACAGAGGCAGAGAGAGAGAGAAAGAGCTTCAGTTGCTGAGAGTTCCATTAAATGAACACAATCACTGGACCAAGTGGAATTATTACTAAGGCTTCATGTTGTTGAAGAACCATTCAGATGTTGATCAACATGGTAAAGCCTTTCAACCTTTCCAGTTTAGGAAAGGGCCTTGGTTATTTTTTTTTATTTTTTTAAACAGATTGGAACACTCCAAGTCACTTTGGGCCTCTCGACTCCTTTGATTTCAAAGTTCAACCCCTCACTCAAAGGAAGATCTTGTACAAGTTTTAGCCAAGTTTAGAACACCAGCTGGAAGCAGCAGTCAAGTCTTTACAGACCTGGGGTCTTTAATCCAGACAACACTGAACAAGTCCTCTTCTTTCCCACTCTGCTATTCTCCTTACATAGACCTTTTAAAAAATAATGTTACTGTTAGGGCAGCAACCAGCCATAAGGATTAAGGATGGAGCACATGATTCAGTTGTGGGTCCTAACCCACCTGGCTTAAGGCCAAACCCCTCCTAGAAACAAGTCAATCTGAGACTTTCTAATGCCTACCCCAACCCTGTGTTGAAAGCCTACTGATTCCAAAACCTCCTCAAAACAATGGTAAAGAACCTTGTCAAATGGAGCACTTATGCAGCTCCAAAGGCTTCAATTCTGATTAATTCTGTAACTTTGGTTTCAGGAACTGCCACACCGGGGGTTAAAGATGCACTCATATTTTCCTGTATAATGAATTCTGAAAGCAAAAGTAGATTTGCATACACATCCAGTAACTTCTGCATTTTGGTGTGTGTTTAACCATTTTCAATTTCCAGGCACAGCACTTTATAAAGCTTGCCTGCATCCATTCATGTTGCCATAAAAGAACTGTGTTGCAGTTTGGAAGCTGCTCTGAATCAGCTTCAGACGTACCCCAGATAATAAAATGCAATGGCACTATAAAATAGCAACAGAAATGCTTGCCCACTAGTCACCAGTGCTCAATCTTTGGAGGACAGCAGGAGGCAACAGAAGGAGCGCTCTTCACTGTACATACTTTATACCCTTGCCAAGTGGCAACAGCTCTTCTTATAGATTCATACAGAATACCAAGTTTAAGCTTTGACACATATGCATAATACAAAATGCAAACAGCTCATGCTAGGGAATCAGTTGTGCAGATAACAGATATTAGTGACATCAATGCATACAGCACTCAAATATATTACAATAACAATAAAGACAAGTCTCTGCTCCAAGGAGCATGCAGTCTTATAAGGCCACAGAGAGAAGTCATTGAAAGAGCCTCCCTGACGCGAATCAACTTATTTGCTGCTGCTGCATCTTAGCTCTATGCATAAGTGAGAGCTACATCAAGATCAGCTCAGCTCTGTATCTTCAGGACTACACTGGAACAGGGAGGAAACTAATCTGTTCATTTACCCACCTTGCTGTGGCCCTCCTGCCCTCTATATTGGGGTCTATGGGCTATCTCTTTACAGTGCTTCTAGAAAAAGGAAGTGAAACTGGACTTTGCTCTGTAAAATGCTTTAAGTGCAGAGACAACCAGCTGCTTAGGAATTCCCTGCTAGAGTTATTCAAAGGTTACTAAAGCCAAGGAGTGGGTTGTAGCCTGCCGAACTCTATAGTCTGCTTTGCTCTGGAAGAAAACTTGAATATAAAAATAACAGCAACCAGCTGAGGTCAAGTAAACAGCTACCTCCTTTTTTCAATTTCAAGCTGGGGAGAAGAGAAAAGCTGAGGCTTAGCAGGAAATTAGCTTGCTGGGTAGCTGCATGCTGGTCAGCAGTTAGCTTGCCCCACCGGCTAACAGCAGGATGGTGCACAACCCAAACTGTGCTATCTGGCAAGTATAACTGACTATTAAGCATCAGAAGTGCCCCACCAAGCAAGAGCATGGTTTCCATACAAAAATACACTAGGGAGGCAAAGCACACTACTTGCCAAACATCTCCACACAGCTTGCAGGTCTAGAGAGCAGAGTTTGCTTTAGTGCCATTCTCTTGCTCTTCAGAAAGCTGTGCAACCTTTGCAAAAAGACCAACAACTCACTTGCTTCATCCCTACCACAGGTAGACCATCCCTTGTGCCAAGGGATATTCATACTGCTTTTGGTATTCATCGTGAGAGGCATCCAGTGTTTCGTATTTGTGTGTGGTGTATGTGTTTGCGAGGCCAAAGAATCCGATTCTGAATTGCCATCCAGTTTTTAATCCCATCTCTGTGCCAGAAAAGCACAATTCCCTGAAGCCTGCCTCGCAGATGCCTGACCAGCCTTTCTCTGAAAGCAGCCCAAGGAAGATGGTTACACAACTTCTCTGGGCAGCTCACGCCTTTCCTAGCAGTTACAAGGCTGTAGAGAATACAGCGGAAAGACGCAAATACGTAAGGGTAGATTCGGGCGGGCTAAAATGCACCACCTCAAGGCATCATTTGAATGCAACCCCATCATCATAGCCTCAAGCAAAAATTCCAGGAGTTCTTCAGAGCCACAGTTCTGCCCTGGAACCATTTTCCAAGCTCAGGTCCCCAAGACAATGAATAACAATTAACAGAGAGCTTCTGGACATATGCAGAGTGACCTTCCAGCACTACTAAACACAGCCAGCTCACCAGTGGCGTAGCGTGGGGGTGCAGGGGGGGCCGGCCGCACCGGGCGCAACATCTGGGGTTAGGGCAAATCCACAGGTTAGGGGGCGCAAATCCACGGGTTAGGGGGCGCAAATCCACGGGTTAGGGGGCGCAAATTACTTGCCTTGCCCCGGGTGCTGACAACCCACACTACGCCACTGCAGCTCACACATCTGGGATTAAGGGTCAAGGCTTCCGATTTGCCTACAGTCCTTACACCACCTTTAGATATTAGCCCCTGGCAAAATCTGTTTCCCCATAATCCCGCACCCATTAGAAGGGATGTGTGGGTTACTTGCCAAGCCAAGAGCGGCTGCTGCGGCGACTACCCCCCCCCCCCCGCGCCCCTTGTCAGCAGCCGGCTGCTCGGATCACTACTGCCTTTGTTGCAGGCTTGCAGAGAAGCAGCTGCCCAGCAGCAAACTTCCTCACGCGATTAAGTTTCCCCTCCGGGTTGCAGGACTGCGCCCCTCCACTCTCTCGGGTGATATTTTGTTTGGGGCCGGGGGGGGGTGGGCTGTTGTCTTTGCAGATCGAACATCAAAGCTGACAAGCGACTTTTCAAACACAGTCTCTATTTAGCCGTCATTACTGAGCCCCCGCCCCCCAAATGCCCCTCTAAAATCCGTTGCTCGGGGTGCAGCGTCTGCAAAGCCCTGGCTGCAGAGCAAGCGCTCTAAGCAAGCGAGCAGCGCCCATTCAAGATGCTCAAGCGAAGAGCAGCGGCGGCCGCCGCCTCGCCGTGCAAACTACTGCCGCCGCCGCCTCCTGTTGCAGCAACCCCAGCTCCGCCGAGCCGCTTCGCCCGGCGGGGTGAAATGGAGGACAAACGCCGGATGAATAACCGCTTAACCGGCGCCCTCTCTCCCCCCGCCCCCAGCAGCAGAGCGTGCACCGACTGCTAAAGAGGCTTCGCATTCAAAACGGCGTAGCTGCACCGCCGAGCAATAGCAGGCTGCAATCCCCGGCGCGTTTACTCGGGCGAAAGCTCCGTGCAACTTGGCGGGACTTGCTTCCGTGTAAAGCGTGCACAAAGTCGGGCTGCAGGGGGCTTTGCTTTTTTGAATAGGGGGCGGGCGAGTGGGGGGCAGAATTAGACCCAGGCTGCCTTTTTCCAAGTCTCCACGTTTCTGGCCAGGATCTTGACCTAAGCTTCCCCGAAGCCTCTTCCACCGAGCGTCTCCTTTTGTTCCTCGCCGATCCCCTGCGCAACCTTGAACTTGCTTCTCTCTTCAAGTTCCCAAGTCTGACTAGTTGGGTTTCTCGAGCCTTCCTGGGAAAAGTTGATCCCCCTCTCCCCAGCCTGCAACCCGGATCTGGTAATCTACATTTGCGACCCACGAGTACAGTAGTAAAGACCAGCAAACGAGGTACTCACCAGTGAATGGGGAAAAATACAGACATGAAGTCTTAACAAAGAGGCTGACCCAACGTCCTTTGTATCTGAGCACAGGGGGGCAGAGCCGGAAAGGAGGAACGGGCTGGCCTCGCTAAGGAAGAGCGGCCACACCAGACGATTTGCACCGAGAGGAAAGCGCCCGCTTGGACAAGGAAGGGGGTAGGAACAGCTGAGCAGCGCTGGTAACCCGCGCGCACAAGAGGAAACTACGCTCGACTTTCTCTGCAAGACTGACTCGCGCAAAGAAAGTGGGCAGCTCCTTTTATAGACGAGGGAGGCGTGCCTCGGCCCGCAAGGCCCGCCCACCCGCTCCGATGATGTCAGTAAAATCATGAATGGTTTCTTGCGCGCAGCCTGTAGCAAAGCCGCGTCTCGGAAGAAAGGAGCGGGATGCCGAGCTCTCCCATTGGCTGGCTCCTATGGCATCATCTTCGGCACGAGCGCGCCTTGCTGCTGATGTCTGTTGTTACCTAACCCACATCGCAGTCAATCAAGCCAAGTTTGGGTATATGTAAAACCACTCCTTTAGCTTTTCTTCCTGGGTTGCATGGCTGTGGGCACGCGCTTGCCACCCCCCCCCACGCCTCCCTTAAAAAATAAAATAATAAAAGCCTCTATCTCCGCTGAGAAATGAAGCGTTTCCGAAGAGGTCAGAGGATCTGCCAACGCAAGAGTTCTTAAGTAGGATGCAGTTGCTAAGAAAATAGCCGCGAGGTTCATTTAAGGTAGCTTTTCATTCATAACAATGGGGGCGACAAACACGGTGTGTCTGTCTTCACTGCGCTTGGAAAGGCAGTCGCTTCGCCAGCACAGAAGTGAAATCTAGCTATGCGTTCTAGCTACACCTACTGTCCGGTTATAATTATTTTCAACAATGACAATAGGCGAAGGATTTGAACAGCAACCAGCTGGAAATACGCAAGTGATATTACCCTTTTGCCTCGAACTGTGTAGTAAGGAGTGGGAGTGAAAAGATGGGAGCTATTTTTGGTTTTCCTACTCTGCCTAAGATTGATTTTTAAAATAATCCATGGGAACGTGAAAGGAGGCAGTGGCTTTGCAGGATCATAAATTTACTGGGCTGAACTGCTTTCTCCTCTGCCTTGCTCCCCCCCCCCCCCGCCCAAGAATGGGATTTATTTTTAATATGCTTACAATATGTGGGAGTAAGGAATAGTTTTCAATGTTGCTCCTCAGTTTTCCCACGAGATTGAATCTCTGAGGAACCCACAAAGTTATCAGTTTGATCATGAGTCTGTCTAGCTCAGCTGTGGCTGATGAGAGCTGGGCTCCATCAACCCCTGGAGGGCAGCAAGTTCCTTATACCTACACGGACTGGCAGTGACTCTCCAAGGTTTAAGAGAACAATCCTTCCCAGCTCCAGCAAGAGATGCTAGGGATCAAATCTGGAAACATGCACCCTAAATCTACCTCTGAGCTACTGCCTTTCTCCCCCAGCTCACAGACACAAAAGTTTGAGGTCAAATCCTTTATTTTCCACCAGTAAGTAAACAGCACCTGCTTCCTGGTACCCAGAACAGCCACACAGCTGTGTTGTTGTGAAGATATCCCAGCTCAATGTAGGAATGAGCTGCCTTAGCACATCATTTCATTGTAGGGTCGCCATAGAACAGAAGATCACAGCAAGGCCAAGGTGCCTACAGTTTTCATATGTGTTGTGAGAAGCTCTTGAAGGCTGTGTGCTGTTGCTTGGCTCTGAAGCTTTCCTGCAGTGCCACAGGAAGGAACTGCAGCACAGAAGCCCTTATGTAAGTTTGTGGTTAGCTCTAGAATGTCTGTTTGCAAATGAAGAGGCACCATGAAGCCAAAATAAACCATCAGTCCCAACAGCCCTTGCCTCTGTGTCTTCTTGGCCCCATCAGGAAAAATGCAGCAATAAAGGAGAGCTGTGGAAAGGGATGACTCTTGGCATTTGCCTTCAGGCCTGCAACATGAATGTTTACTGTTCTACTTGGTGATGAGTCCTCTGACATGCCTCTGAATTCCTTGCTGCTTGCCCTCCTATCATCACCTGGCTGCAGCTGTGCCAGTTTGATTTTCTTTCTACTCACCCACCTACCTCTGGGACTGTGGCCACAGCTTCTGCAATTTCTACTGCATATCGTGACACTGCAATGGATTCCCTTTGCTGCCTGCCATGTATGCTCCAGCAGTTAACATGGGGCAGGTAGATCATTCAGCAGCAAGTTAGTGCTCCCTGGGCAGTTATAGGAATCATGGAAATGGCTAGTAGCACACCTGGAAAAGAAGCAATGAGGTCTCCAGGTGCACAGAAATGTGTGTTTTGAGCCCCATGCACTCCTTTATTTATTACATCCAAAGGATTTCTCCCTCTCCTCCCTTTTTTTTCTAACAGCACCCCTTGTCCTCACATTTCTTGGCTACTGCAAAATGATAGTGCCAGAAATAAATACATATGGGGGCAAAGTAGATCTTGAGGGGGGCAATCTCCAGTTCACATATTAAACATTTCCAAACAGAAACATTTCTGTATTTCCCATCCTAAATATGCTGGATTGCATCCAAATAAATCATACTTAAAAGGTAAAGGTACCCCTGCCCGTACGGGCCAGTCTTGACAGACTCTGGGGTTGTGCGCCCATCTCACTTAAGAGGCCAGGGGCCAGCGCTGTCCGGAGACACTTCCGGGTCACGTGGCCAGCGTGACAAAGCTGCATCTGGCGAGCCAGTGCAGCACACGGAAACGCCATTTACCTTCCCGCCAGTAAGCGGTCCCTATTTATCTACTTGCACCCGGGAGTGCTTTCGAACTGCTAGGTTGGCAGGCGCTGGGACCGAACAACGGGAGCGCACCCCGCCGCGGGAATTCGAACCGCCAACCTTTCGATCGGCAAACCCTTGGCGCTGAGGCTTTTACCCACAGCGCCACCCACGTCCCTGATAAGTCATACTTAGTCATGCCCATTAATTTCAATAGGTTGATTCAGTGAGTCTAATAACTTAGTTTAATAGGTTATGTTGCACATATTTAAATAACATTCACATGCAAGCATGTATGTTAACAATTTCTGCCCTAATGAAAATAATATTTCCCCTCCTCTTTCTAGATTTAGTTAGCAGCAGTCTACAGGTGATCAAAGAAGAATAAGCCTTTTAAAAATCTGCATTTGGAAGCCCCTGTTTGTCTAGCTTGCAGCTGATCAAAGCTGTAGGCCATGCTGGTGAAAAGATTTGTTTATTTAAGTAAGATAGATGACCAGCTCTATAATCCCAAGAGGCTCTCAAAGCAACTTATGGACAAGATCCTCCTGAAAAAAATTCTTCTAACTTCCTTTGCATGATAGAAATTCAGTTGCAGAAGCTTTTTCCTGCCATGAAGACACAGCGATACAGAGCTCCGCCTGTTGAATTGCATGTGCATCATGGAACTGTTAAAAGTGTGGGATTCCTGGAGTTTCTTTGAATGTTCAAATCAAATGTTTGAAAAGCCATTCAAAGCTTTTTTGGGGAAATGTTTCAAAAAACCCTGAGCAATTTTGGGGCAATCAGGAGGGCAACTATTCATACCTCAGTCCCTTCTTGTTGGCATGAACCCAATCACCATTGTACAAGAGGGAAGGAAGCAGGGCCTTGTGAAAAACTGATAACAGCATGTCAAATATGATTGATGTCATATACCCTGAGTGGCAGATTAATATTTAAATGGCAGAAAACACTGAGACAGGTGGACAGACAATGCACAACCATATATCAGAAAGACCGGTTACAAAACAGAGGTAAAAGGTAAAGGACCGCTAACCATTAGGTCCAGTCGTGGCCGACTGGGGTTGTGGTGCTCATCTCGCTTTATTGGCGTATAGCTTCCAGGTCATGTGGCCAGCATGACTAAGCCGCTTCTGGCGAACCAGAGCAGCGCATGGAAACGCTGTTTACCCTCCCACTGGAGCGGTAGGTTGGCAGGAGCAGGGACCGAGCAACGGGAGCTCACCCCGTCGCGGGGATTCGAACCACCGACCTTCTGATCGGGAAGTCCTAGGCTCTGTGGTTTAACCCACAGTGCCACCCGCATCCCAAAAACAGAAGCTGGCCAATAAAGATCCCCCCCTTTTTTTGCATCAAAAAGTGGCTCCTATGCAACAGTATCTATGTAGAAAGGCTCCCTGGAGCACATTCGAAACAGTGCAAGCATGTAGAAAGCAGCACAGATGTGGTCTAAGAAATTCCTTAATGCCTGGAGTCTATGGCCTTTTCTCAGGATCTCTACGCTGATGTTTGCAGTGGAAGTTACAGCACTTCTATCCAGTGTAGTTTTGGTTCTTTTGTGTGTAATGCATCTGTTTGCCTGCTCACCGGCTCCTTCCAGTGTTCCCATGTTAGAAGTACAGCCATGAAAATTCAGCCTCTTTCCTTAGGTTATTCTGGGGCAGTTATGCTATCCTTAGGGTTGCACATGCATGATTCGGTGTCAGCCTTCCATCTAGGCTCTCTCCACATTTGGAAAATGTATTTGGGAGAATTAGACAATTATTCCCATTGCCTTTGCTTGTAAACAAAGCAAGCATGCAAAAGGCTGATTTGCCATCATCGGGGTTCTTTTTAGCAAACTGGGTTCTCCTAGCATTCTGTCCAGCGGCACAGATTATGAACACAAAACACCCACTGAACAAACTACCACACTCACCTTTTCAGCCAGTAAGAATGGGCATGGAAGAGCTTTCTTAAGCAATGGCCACAGTTTCAGATTTGTTTTTACTAGAAATACGATGCACTAGTCAGAATTGAGAGCCCATGTGGAACAGTGGTGGGAGGATCTGGGGATATCTCTTGGCCATGTCCCTTTGATTACCAGGAGTTGAAAACATTGGGGGGGGGGTTGAGGGCAGGGAGGGATACACAAGCATATGCATATGTGTGTGAATGTGCATGTGCATGCAATATGGAATTCAATGAACAGAGAAAATACAACGGAGGGGAAACTGCTTCAAAATCCAGAAATCTAAAGTCCATGACTCTAAATACATCCTATCACCCTTTAATATAAATATTGCTGTGATGTAAATGGTAAATTCTCTTTATTCTGGATGTATGTATGTTGGACAGTCGGAATTTGTGGCATCCAGCAGCTCTCTTTCTGTGCACACTAATAAAAATTCTGAGTACACTTAATTTTAATGGTTAACAATGAGACCCTTCAGCTCAGGGACATCAGATGTTGTTTTTGTTGTTGTTTTTTTAATGTTTTTTTTTAATGTTTGTTTCCTT